AGGCAGATTCTTAACCACTGCACCACCAGGGAAGCCCCTGCATGTTGTTTTTTTTGTTTTTTTGTTTTTAACTTTTTATTTTATATTGGAGTATAGGTGATTAACAATGTTGCATTAGTTTCCGGTGTACAGTAAAGTGATTCAGTTATACATATACATGTAGCTATTCTTTTTCAAATTCTTTTCTCATTTAGGTTGTTACATAACATTGAGCAGAGTTCCCTATGCTATACAGTACATCCTTGTTGGTTATCCATTTTATTTTATTTTTTTATTTTTTCAACTTTCTCTATAGTTTACTAATAAGTCAAAAGAAAACTTTTTTTTAACATCTTTATTGGGGTATAATTGCTTTACAATGGTGTGTTAGTTTCTGCTTTCTAACAAAGTGAATCAGTTATACATATGTTCCCATATCGCTTACCTCTTGCGTCTCCCTCCCTCCCACCCTCCCTATCCCACCCCTCTAGGTGGTCACAAAGCACCGAGCTGATATCCCTGTGCTACGCGGCTGCTTCCCACTAGCCATCTAACTTACGTTTGGTAGTGTATATATGTCCATGCCTCTCTCCCGCTTTGTCACAGCTCACCCTTCCCCCTCCCCATATCCTCAAGTCCGTTCTCCAGTAGGTCTGTGTCTTTATTCCTGTCTTACCCCTAGGTTCTTCATGACATTTTTTTTCTTAAATTCCATATATATGTGTTAGCATACGGTATTTGTCTTTCTCTTTCTGACTTACTTCACTCTGTATGACAGACTCTATGTCCATCCACCTCATTACAAATAGCTCAATTTCGTTTCTTTTTATGGCTGAGTAATATTCCATTGTATATATGTGCCACATCTTCTTTATCCATTCATCCGATGATGGGCACTTAGGTTGTTTCCATCTCCGGGCTATTGTAAATAGAGCTGCAATGAACATTTTGGTACATGACTCTTTTTGAATTTTGGTTTTCTCAGGGTATATGCCCAGTAGTGGGATTGCTGGGTCACTTTTTTTTTTTTTTTTTAATAGAAGCATCATAAACCTTTTCCTTCTCCTAGTTCCTGGGTCTTTTTTTTTTTTTTTCACACACACACTGTATTTTATTTTTACAAGAGATAGACTGACACCAAGCCTTGTAAATGGATGGCCACAACAAAAGCAACAATGATCTGCACATTGTTTTTGCTGAAAACTCCAAAACGAAAGGCCTGTCTCCTGACACTGAGCACATAGGCAAGTAGGTAGGCCAAGGCCACCACAGTGTGACTACGGTGTAATTGTTCCCTCCCCCAGAGTAGGGGGAGCCTGGCTTATTTGCTGCTTGCTAAAAAAGGTTCTGAGCCCTTGGCCCTGCGCTCCTCAGATGCGGCATAACCTACTGCACGCACCACCATTGGGGCTCACTGTGTCATTCGTAGGACTTGGGTACTGGGGAAACAGGCTGCCATGATGATGCTCCTGCTGTTTGCTGTGCTATGAGTTGTTCAATCTTATTGCCTACTTGTACCACCTGTGGAGTTGTGGCATGTTAATCCTTGCCATCCTCTATGACAGGGGTTAGCAAAGTTTTTCTTAAAGGGCCAGATTGTAAGTATGTAAGCCCATGGGCCATATAGTCTCTGTTGCAACTATTTAACTTAGCATGAAAGCCTGTAGCATGAATGCAGCTGTATACAAAATGTAAATCTGTGGGTGTGCCTGTGTTCCCCCAAAAAACTTTACTTACAAAAACAAACAGCTGGCCCGCCTTCCTTTTAGAGTTGGACATCTGAGGTTCACAGAAGGAACTTGCCTAACTCCTGTCTAGCAGGCAGTGGAGGCAGATGTGCTGGCTCCAGAGCCCTTTCCACCCCTCCCAGCCTTGCTGTGTGCCTTGCTCCGCTGACACTAAAGAAAGACCCCAGGCTTGCAGTTCAGTTCCAAGGGGAGGCACAAGCGGAGATCGGAGCGCAGAGGAGAGGGAAGGGGAAGAGCTCAGATATAAATTCACCAGTTTTTCAGACTTTCACAGCTCTTGGTGGGACTTCTCCCTGAATATTACTCTCTCCAGTTTCAGGGAATTGCTTCTGCTGCTTCTCCTTTCAGCCCAGAAAAAACAATTACTGACCCACGCCTCCACCCCAACTAGCTATGAGTACAGCACTGTCTGAAAGGTTAGTCACTCAGAATGCAAATCAAAACCACAATGAGATGTCACCTCACAACTGTCAGAATGGCTATTATCAAAAGGACAACAGGGACTTCCCTGCTGGTCCAGTGGTTAAGAATCTGCATTCCAATGCAGGAGGTGCAGGTTCGATCCCTGGTCAGGGAACTAAGATCCCACATGCCACGGGGCTACTAAGCCCGCGGGGCAACTAAGCCCATGTGCTGCAACTGGAAGATCCTGCATGCCGCAACAAAGATCCTGCAACAAAGACCTGATGCTGCCAAAAAAAAAAAAAAAAAGACAACAAATAACGAGCGATGTTGAGGATGTGGAGAAAAGGGAACCCTCCTGCACTGTTGGTGGCAATGTAAATTGGTGCAGCTGTTACCAACTTGAGTCCTTGAACTCCTTAATCAACAGAAATTGGTAAGAGGCCAGATGAGGAATTTAGGCAAAGCTTTACTGGAACTCATGCTGCAGCATGAGGGAGTGAGAACAAGAAAAAGGTGCCCTTGCTCACTTCCCAAAGAGGGGGTGGGAGTGAGCTGGGTCCTTAAATAGGGTGAGGGTAGGGGTGGGTCAGGCCGGAGGGGTGGCTTTGGTGGTCTGCCCACGCCCTCGGTGGTGCTGTGTGCAGAGATCATGCGCGATCATGCGCAGTACCCTGCTTCTGCCCCCCCCACCAAAAGCAGCAGTTGGGTTTTGGCCTTTTTGTATCTTATTGGTCATAATTTGTCCAAACCATGCATGCATGCAGTTATTTTCAGTCCCTTATAGTTTCTTTGTATTCTTTTGCTCTGGGAGATGTTTGTCCAGGTGCAAGCACTGCAGCAAAGGATCCCAGGTCCAAACCACAGTGAGATATCACTTCACACCTACTAGGATAGTGATAATAACCATTTTAAAAACTGAAAATAAAAGGTGTTAATGAGGACGCAGAGAAATTGGGACCCTTGTACAGTGCTGGTAGAATCTAAAATGGTTACAGACACCGTGGAAAATAGTTTGATGGTTCCTCAAAAAGTTAAACATACAATTACCAAAAAACTCTAATTCCACTCCTAGATATATATTCAAAGGAACTGAAAACAGAGGCTTCCACAGATACTTCTATAATGATGTTCACTGCAACATTTTTCTAGCCCAAAGACGGAAATCCGTGTCCACTCCTCAACAGATGGATAAACAAAATGTGGTGTACACACACACACACACACACACGAATATTATTCAGCCATAAAAAGGAATGAAGTTCTGATATATGCTACAACATGAATGAACCTTGAAAACACGCTAAATGGAATTACGCCAGACACAAAAGGACAAGTACTGTATGATTCCACTTATTTAAAATATAAAGAATAGGCAAATTCATAGACATAAAAAGTAGATTAAATGTTAGCAGGGGCTGGGGGGAGTGGGTGCTTAACGGTTACAGAGTTTCTGTTTGGGATGATGAAAAGGCTTTGTAAATGATGGTGATGGTTACCCAACATTGTGAATGTAATTAATGCCACTGAATTGTACACTTAAAAAAAAAATTAGTCGGGGTTGGGGGGGTGGGGGGGAATTAGTCGGGGCTTCCCTGGTGGTGCAGTGGTTAAGAATCTGCCTGCCAAAGCAAAGGACACGGATTCAAGCCCTGGCCTGGGAAGATCCCACATGCTGTGGAGCAACTAAGCCTGTGCACCACAACTACTGAGCCTGCCTTCTAGAGCCTGCAAGCCACAACTACTGGGCCCACGTGCCACGACTACTAAAGCCTGTGCGCCTAGAACCCATGCTCCACAAGAGAAGCCACGACAATGAGTAGCCCCTGCACGCCTGGGCACAGCAATGAAGACCCAACACAGCCAAAAATAAAAAAACAAATTTAGTTTAAAAAAAATTAGTCACTCTACTCAAATTACCTGGTTTGACTGTGCCATGTTTCCTGTCCTACCCTTACTGACAGTGACTAACAGTCAAGTTAACCTGAGTCCACTTCAAAACCCTTCTTTTGGGCTTCCCTGGTGGCGCAGTGGTTGAGAATCCGCCTGCCGATGCAGGGGACACGAGTTCGTGCCCCGGTCCAGGACGATCCTGCATGCCGCAGAGCGGCTGGGCCCGTGAACCATGGCCGCTGAGCCTGCGCGTCCGGAGCCTGTGTTCAGCAACGGGAGAGGCCACAACGGTGAGAGGCCCGCGTACCGCCAAAACAGAAACAAAAACAAAACCCTTCTTTCTACTCCTCTGAGAATGGTAACACACTTACTGCTCCACAGCATAAGCAGGCTTCAAGGCCCAGTTTACAGACCATCTCTTGTAAACTTTTCTCAATTCCCACCGCGAGTACTTTGTCTTCTCAACTCCCATACACGTCTTGGGTCACCTGGTGATCATGTTTCATCTTCCCGTCTCACTTATGCTCCTTGAAAGGAGCCTCTAGTTCCGATTAATTCTGGTGTCTTCTAACTACCTGGTTCGTAAATCAGAGGCACAAAACCCCCTACTACCCTTTCCCCCCAAAAAAGGCTGCTTGCTAGACAAAAGACCCCAAACCCCACCGTGCATTTGCATGGCACTGTCGTGCACACCGTTTCTCATTTTCAGATCGTTGTTAGTAAAGAGAATCTTGGGGCCGGGGCCTATTTGCCAATCCTGCGGTCACATTACCACTACTGGCTACACTCAGACGACTCATTGTAAACCTGGTATGGGGAAGCCCAAGAGCCGCTCCCGCTCCCGGGGTCCTGAGGACAACTGCTCGGTGGGCGGCCACTGGCCTCTCTCAGCTCGGCAGCCTAAACCCCAGCGAAAGCAATTTGCTGGCACGCGCGGACTGCACCGAGACATCCCAGGCACCACGTAACCATAGAGTGAGGTAGGCGGGTAGAGAGGCCAGAATAGAGGGCCGCTCCGTCCCCAGCTTCCGGCAACGCCTCGCTGCTCCAGGAGTAGCTGTAGCCGCGTATGCAGTTTCCATGGGGACTGAAGATGGCGTCGCGAGGTGAGATTCCGGAGGTGTGTGAGTCGCTGGTCCCGCTCTCCTCAGTACCCACCCACCCCCAACCTTCTCTCCCAGTGCTCGACCTAAACCCTTCCTTCTCGGGTGTTAGGGACATCACTCCTCACTTGTCCAAAGCAGGGTTTGGCGGACTCACCCACCCTGAGTGCCCGAGGGTCTCGAGGTGCGGGTCTCAGATACCCCCAAATCCTTGGCTGGGCCTATTCTAGGACAGGTCAGTTGCGAATTTGCAGCGTGATTTCAAACAGGCCAGTGCTGGTCTCTGAGCCCCAATTTCCCTTCCCAAATAGTGACGAGGTTAGATCTCAGAGACGCTTTGACTTTGAGCCCCAAAGGCGAAGGAGTCGAGTTTGACGGTATTCCGGAAAGAAGGGGATTGAAGGAAACCCCCCTCCACACCGTATATACACACGTACTCCTCGTCAGCAATCAGAAGTGCCCCCACGTGGCCCTTTCCACTAGCTGCGGCCTCGTGTTTCCTCCAAGTTAGACACAGAACCATTGAAATAACTGAGGCTGAGCTGCCCTCCAGCCCATCTCTTTTCTCTGTTTTCATATTTTCAGGTAAACGGTTGTCCTCCACCCCCTTGGAAATCCTGTTCTTTCTGAACGGGTGGTATTATGCTACCTGTTTCCTGCTGGAACTCTTCGTATTTCTGTATAAAGGTAAGGCCTGGGGTTTTGACTCCCCTTGCCCCAACATCCCTTCCCCACTTCAGCCCAGTGCCAGCTGCCACCCAAAGCCTTCTTGTTTTTCATTCTTTTCTGCCCCCTGGGGCTCCTCTTCGTTGCACGGTGGAAGTCTCTTCATCAGGTGACTTCCTTGAGAATGATTTAGTAAGAAGCCCCTTGGCGAGATTTTCTTGAGTTTGGGAAATGTGGACTTCTCTATTCTGACTCTCCCCCATCACCTCTTTGCTGAACTCCACTTTAAGCCCATTGGTGACCTTCATTTCAGCAGCCTGTGTACCCATGTACGTCTGATTACTGTGGAGAGCAGAGTCCCCATAGACTCTCCGAGTTAGGAGTAAAACCCCGTAATAACGAGCCTGCCTCTAACAGACGTAGCCGCACCAGGAGTTAACAGATCCTGCAGCAGGTTAACAGATCCTGCCCACATCTCACTAAGTAGTTCATGGAATGCTGATAAGACTCGTGTTGTCTTTATTCCCAGGTGTGTGGGAGTTCTTGTGTGTCCTGTTCTATGTTGTTTGCAAGCTCTGACTTTTGTATTGGCAGGTCTCCTGCTACCATATCCAACAGCCAATCTAGTACTGGATGTGGCGATGCTCTTCCTTTATCTTGGAATTGAAGTAATTCGACTGTTTTTTGGTGAGTGTTGTCCAGAGAATATTTCCATTCCTTATGAGACGAGCTGGTATCTGTAACCTGATTAACAAGGAAAAGTTTCAATACATAACTTAGGCTCACCATAAGAGATTGGATCTGGTGGTATATCCCGTTACCCCCTCTCTGAAGTTTCAAGCTGCTTCATATTTTGGGTCAGGATTTATTTGTCTGTTGCTCTGCAGGGCCAGAAGTAGGTGGTGACATGAGATATTAGATAATTCCTTCCCAGTTGTCTAACTAATACAAGAGTTCCTGGTTCCTCTCACTGGTTTGCTTGGGAGAATAGATTCAGTTGTACCTCCATGTCCAGGGCAGTAGACACCTATCCAGGGCAGTAGACGCCTGCACAGGTCAGCACTAAGATCCCCTCCACTTCTCTGAAGAAGGATTTCTCTAGGACAAGTTTTATATCCCCAGAAATACAGAGCAAGCCCTTATTAGTTAGAATATCTCATCCTTGAAAACGGTGTTAAAACACACACTGAGGGGAAAAAAATAGTTTCAACACATATAACAAAGGATAAAGAAGGCTCACATAAAGTGCTAAGAAAAAAACCTAGTTTTAAAAATTAGCAAGGGGATTGACATATATACACTATTGATACTATGTATAAAATAGATAACTAATGAGAACCTACTGTATAGCACAGGGAACTCTACTCAATGCTCTGTGGTGACCTAAATGGGAAGAAGATCCAAAAAAGAGGCGATATATGTATACATACAGCTGATTCACTTTGCTGTGCAGTAGAAACTAACACAACATTATAAAGTAACTATACTCCAATAAAAATTAAAAAAAAATTATCACTAGCAAAAAAAAGAAAAAATTAGCAAGGGACACTAATGGGCAATTCACATAAGAATAATTACAAGGACCAATACACATGATAAAATGCCCAGGCTCACTAACAAGAAGCAAATTGAAAAAACAAGGTAACATTTTCACCCATCAGATTAAAAAGGTTTCCAAATTCCCAGCATTCGAATGGCTGTGAGGAACAGGTCTCTGTGGTCTCACACTCTTGTGGGTATTTATATTCCCCCACCCTCTGGGAATATAAATTAGTACAACCTTTTTGCTAATAGTTTTACCAGGTAAAATTCGTATTCTTAGACCTAACAATTTCCCTTCCAAAATGGTTGAAAAAGACAGATACTTCTACAGATATGCTAAGATATCTGTATGAGAACGTTTATTGCCATGTATAGTTTTTTTATAAATTATTTTTTAAATTTTATTTATTTTTGGCTGTGTTGGGTCTTCGTCGCTGCGCGCGGGCCTTCTCGAGTTGTGGTGAGCGGGGGCTACTCTGCGTTGTGGTGCGCGGGCTTCTCATTGTGGTGGCTTCTCTTGTTGCAGAGCACAGGCTCTAGGTGCGCGGGCTTCAGTAGTTGTGACACATGACCTCAGTAGTCGTGGTTCACGGGCTCTAGAGCACAGGCTCAGTAGTTGTGGTGCACGGGCTTAGTTGCTCCACGGCATGTGGGATCTTCCCAGACCAGGGCTCGAACCCGTGTCCCCTGCATTGGCCGGTGGATTCTTAACCACTGCGCCGCCAGGGAAGCCCCTGCCATGTATTTTTTAACATCAAAACATTAGAAACAACCTAAACATCTATCAGTACAGGATTAGTTAAATAAGTTATGGCATTGGTTCAGTGAAATTGTTCATAGCCATTAAAAAAGGGTAAGGTAGTTATGTGTGGAAAGATGTCTAACTATGTTAAGTGGTTAAATAAGTTGCAAAACAGTATGCAGAGTATGATTCTATTTTTAGAATAATAAATAGTAATATGTGACCATACACATAAAAAAGTCTGAAACAGTATACATCATTCTGTAATAATGGCTATCTCTAAGGGCTGAGTCATGTGGTCTTTTAGTTTCTATATTTTCTAAAATTATTTTTTATATATTTTTTTCTATTTTTTGGCTGCCCCGTACGGCATGTGGGATCTTAGTTCCCCAACCAGGGATCAAACCCATGCTCCCTGCAGTGGAAGCCTGGAGTCTTAACCACTGGACTGCCAGGGAACTCTGTATTTTCTATATTAACTGAAAAGTTTTCAATGATTATACATTATTTTTATGATTTACAAAATTTTTCCTCAAATAAAGAGCCCATTGTCCCTTGACTGGGAGCCAGAATGGAAGCAGGACCTTTCAGTGAATGACTGCAATCCTATAGCTGCTCCAAAGCCTCTACTTTTTTTTGTTGTTGTTTGTTTGTTTTGCGGTACGCAGGCCTCTCACTGTTGTGGCCTCTCCCGTTGCGTTGCGGAGCACAGGCTCCGGACGCGCAGGCTCAGCGGCCATGGTTCACGGGCCCTGCCGCTCCGCGGCACGTGGGATCCTCCCGGACCGGGGCACGAACCCGTGTGCCCTGCATCGGCAGGCGGACTCTCAACCACTGCGCCACCAGGGAAGCCCAAGCCTCTAGTTTTTAACACGGTGGGACCGCATTTATAAACCTGCACATCCCCATTCAGGAGCATTTTCCTCTGCTTGCCAGTCCATCCCATCCCGCCCGCCTTTCCTCTGAGGCCAGGGAAGGCAGGCCACTTGGAGGTGATTCCATGGGCTGTGTCTGACAGGTACAAAGGGAAACCTCTGCCAACGAAAGATGCCGCTTGGTATTAGCATGGCCTTGACCTTCCCATCTGCCATGATGGCCTCCTATTACCTGCTGCTGCAGACCTACGTGCTCCGCCTGGAAGCCATCATGAACGGCATCTTGCTCATCTTCTGTGGCTCAGAGCTGCTGCTTGAGGTGCTCACCCTGGCTGCCTTCTCCAGGTACTGCTGCCGAGGGACCGTTTCCTACCACCTGAGGGTTGGATTCCCATCCCAGGGGGGGATTCATTGTTTGTCTAAAGCCTGAGGGGTCTAGAAGATTTTTAAGGGCAAATAGGGTTGTCTGTGGGACTGCCTTTCCCACTTAGGGTAGACATTCTCCTTGTTCTTTGGGGCCAAGAGCCTTGGGATATAGAACAGTTCCAGCCAGCTGCTCTTATTCACTGGTCTTTTAACATTTTGTTTCTTTCTTTCTTTCTGCCATCAGTATGGACAGGATTTGAAGTACAAAAATTTCAGCCAGCAGCCCTCACAGGCTGAGACCACACATACCTCTGGTACTTTAGCCATACGAGTGAGAAATGGTGGGTCAAGTTGTCCTGGGCAAGGTTGCAGCTTTTCCTCAGCACAGACACCTTGGGGAACAAACCAAGCATAAGCCCACTGGGCACCATCTTCTAAACCAGGATCATCCGTTCAAGAGACTCTTCTACACTCCAGTATAGGGAGGGGCAAGGCTGTCGCCATCCTGGCCCTTCTCAGAACCAATTAATTCCCTTCTGACCTCAAGTTTTCCTCTTTGATCATCGTGGCCAGAGCATCTTGTGTGGACCGTGTAGGCTCCTTGGGCTTCCAGCAGGACCTGAGCTGCACACTCCGTGTGTGTGCTGCGCCCCACGTCCTGCAGGAGCACGGGGCACCTCAGGAGGGTGTGCTCCCAGAGTGATGCAAAAGCCGCTCATCCCATTTCTCAGAGACTGAGCTCCAGAACTTTCTCTGGAGCTCATAGTGTTATTTTTCTACTCTCATCATGAAACAAAACATTATTTTATAATAAAGATGTATTTTCTGTGGCGGAAGTTGTAGTAGCCTTTTCCTCACGGCACCCGTCCCTAGAATTTCTTCCACTTTAAGAGAAGGTAGAGACTATCCCAGCGGTTTGTTCTCCGCTGCGCTTGGTGGTTCAGTGTGGACACAGAGGCAGTGGTGAAGGTGTCCCACTGAGTTTCTTCCCACAGCTCCAGCCTCAATTAATCCCTAAAGGCCCTGCCAGCTTCTGTGTCTTCTTCAGATCTGTCATCCTGCCTGCTCACATTCTTCACCTCTGCCCCAAAGCCAGCATCTTGTCTCTCATTCCTCTTACAGATAATTGTCATCTTTCCAGGGTGAGGCATGAGTAATTGGAAGAAACATATTCTAAACTTACCAATATTTTTTGGTCATTTGTTTTAAAATTTCAAGTTAATATAAAAGGAACACATACTTTTATTCTTTTTTTTTTTTTTTTTTTTTTTTGCGGTACGCGGGCCTCTCACCGTTGTGGCCTCTCCCGTTGCGGAGCACAGGGTCCGGACGCGCAGGCTCAGCGGCCATGGCTCACGGGCCCAGCCGCTCTGCGGCATGTGGGATCCTCCCAGACCGGGGCACGAACCCACGTCCCCTGCATCGGCAGGCGGACTCCCAACCACTGCGCCACCAGGGAAGTCCCTATTTTTATTCTTTAAGCTGGAGGCGTGTTGCCCTAAATGAGTGAATCATTCCCTTCTCCAAGTAACCGTCTTTAAAACTATTTCTCATCTTGCATGATAGCAGCCATTTCTTCAGCCCCAAGAAGCCATCACAGAAGCCACTTTAGGAAACCCTGAGCCATGTGGCCCATCTGCTATCAGGTGAACCCTAGAATATCTGCTTTTCTTCAGAGTAAAAAGTAATTGGCCTTTAAGAATGTCATGCTGGTTTTTAACGGCTTATTTCCTGTGATGAGGCTCATTCTCACCCTATGTAGGTCTCCACTTTCCAAAGCACTGATGCTTTTTCTTATTTCCTAACCCTCCGTGTCCTTGCCTAAGAGCTGTCTTTGGGGTCCATCCAAAGACTATTAATAGGTCTGATTAAGCATGAAACAGTAACAAAAAACCCAATAGAAACTTCCCTGACATTTCAATCACATATCCCACTAATACCTTAATTTTCTGCTGCTTCTCACACTGCTTGTTTGTCTAGCCCTGCTTTGAAGAAATCTCTGGCATCAAACTGGAGAACTCATTCCCCATGGCCTCTCTATTCCATTTAGAGTTTCACTGGTTAAGGTCCCCCTCCCAGCAACACAGAAAAATGAATGGGAGGCTCAGTTGAAAGTTTAGAGGTGGCTTATGATTCAAAGGGGCTTTAGAGATCAACTTAATCTCATCCCCAGCTTGGCAGGTTTAGAGATGAGGAAGTAACATAGCCAAGCATCATACAACTGGTTACTAATTTGTTAGAAGCTTTGTCTTACGTGTCTCAATCTGGATCAAGTAAATTCCATTCCTGAACAGGTACCACGTGAGTATAAGAATGAATGATTGAAAATGGGGCTTAGAACAGGAAGTCTTCACATTTTCTTCATGGGTATCTGGAAGCTTAGCGTGTTGTGTTTCCCAGGCGTGGCTCCATAGATGCTCATTCTTCTTATTTTTATTATTTTTTTGGCCGCGCCGTGCAGCTTGCAGGATCTTGGTTCCTGACCGGGGATTGAACCCGTGCCCCCTGCAGTGGAAGCGCGGAGTCTTAACCACTGGACCGCCAGGGACGTCCCATAAATGCTCATTCTTCTTGATGCTTGTTGGGGCGAGCTGTGTGGATGCAGTTAGTCACACCAGAGTAGAACATCATACAACAGAAACTGAGGCAGTGGAGGATGGGAATCAGCACAGCTAGTCTTTCAGGGTTAACGTGTCAGAGGCTGTACTCACTGTAGTGTCAAGGGAAGCCACTATACCCCATACACACCTGAAGGACTAACATTCTGGGACAGTGAGAGGACTGGGCCAAGGAGTAGGCCCTGGTCACAAGAGCTGGCAGAGGCCTGCTAGGATATCCACACTCATGCCTAGAACTGACATGTCACACCTGACATGCCTAGTCAGGTGACTGCAGTGGTGGTCTCTAGGGGCTGAGGTCTGGCTCATTTCAGGAAGCACTCAGGAACACAGAGGTGACCCAAAGGTCATTCATTCCCTTCCTATACTGCCATGGTAATCCCTAGGAGAAACTGAAGAACGTACTTGCTTCTCTAAACTAGCAGTCCTCATGCTTTAGTTTATGTAAGTCATCTGGAGCATAAAAAGTAGATTTCTAGACTTCAGAGACTGATGCAGCCAGGAAGGCATTTTAGCAAGCATGGCGCGTAACTGAAATGCAGGCAACCGTGGAACTCAACTTGAGAACCCTGGTTTAAGTTCTGAGAGGCATTCCAACTATTTTTTTTCCTTCAAGTTTTATAACATCATAGACCCTCAAGGAATTTCCCTTCTACTAAGGGTTTCTTGCTTTTATACTGCTCTTGCCTTTACTGGCCTCAGCAACACATTATATGTCATCTGGTTGCTGGTTCATCTTTTTATTATGCTAACTCTCCTCTTGTTTGCCCGACTTTTTAAAAAGCCTTTCAGGAATCCCAAGGATCACCCCGCAGCCCTTTGCTAAGCTTCCTAATCTGTACTTCCCTCATATTTAGACAGCACCGCAGTCTACGTAACACGTTCACATTTGTTATGATTCTTCAGACCTCCCAATGTGGGAGGCAGAACAGCTATCATTTTCATCTTAGAAACGAGAGAGACTGAGGTTGTGCTGCTCGTCCGTGGTTAGACAGATTTAGATGTGAAGGAGGCACTAGCCAGCATATCTTCTAACGCCTAGCAGAGGACTCTTCCCTTTATGAACTCGATGACATCGGAACTGAACTGTACAAGGTAGGACATTTATTCTGAGAATAAATCTTAGGAACCTTGAAGGATAAAAGATGACTTGGAATTAACTAGGCTGTTTGGATGGCTAAGGAAAAAAGCTAAACCTCAAGGGGCACCTCCAAAGGTTCGCACGAGGTCTCCTAGGAGGTGTACCACACGCACTACACACGCCCACCGTGCAATCCCAGCTGAGAACTCAGGGATTCACTCCCCTCCCAAAGCCTCTACATCAGCCCACACCCGTGTCCCAGACACCTCAACAAATCTATTCAATGCAGAATCCGTGAAACAGCTCACACCCCATTTATTATTTAAAAATATTTTGTTACAAAAGGAAAAAAAATACAATGCAGTATAAAAGATTGACAGTGTCATCAAGTTTATTACACAATTTTCAACCTATCAGAAAGACAAACAAATCACCAACAACAGGGGGACGGGGCCTTGGCCTTTTTGAGGGTTGGGTTTTTTTCCTTTTGCTATCAGGAAATAAAACTAAAAATTGTGTCACCAAGTAAAAACAAAACAAAAATGGGGAGAAAAAAATTCTCCGGGTAAACGGCTTTTCTGGTATTCTATATATTTTTTTCTCCTTAAACTGTCACCTTACTTGGGTTTCTCTACATTAAAAAGACACCCGGAGCTGCTCTTGAGGATAAGCACATCACTTAACGCTTGGCCGGCTGGGCAGGGTGCCATATTCTGAAGTGGAGGTGGGGATGGGGTTGGGGGACAGGGGGAAAAAAGCTACAAACCTGTAGCCTCTGTCCCAAGGGAATGTGCCTCTCCAACCCTGGGGGACTCCCTCAGTGACTGAGCGAGGGCTATGTCAGAAACGTGCAAGGAACAGAGGAAGGCTTCGGTCCAGCTCAGTCTCTCCCCTCTGAGCCAGAAGGGTCTCCAGCGACCCTACATCCCACGTGCCACGTTTCCTGTTCGATGTCGCGTGCCCTACAGACGCGTGCGGAAGTAGCATCTGTCGCCCCGTGGGTACCGCAGGACCCTGTTGCTGCTGCTTCTTTCAGCAGCAGCCGCCTCACAATTTGGATGTTATGGGAAAAGCAATTCCATTTGCCTGTGTAGAATATGGCCCCCAGAGTGGTGGTCCTTAGAATTCTGAGCTGAGCTCATTAAAGTCAGGCTCCACTTCTTCCTTGCTCCTTATCAGAGGCAGCAAGTACCTCCAGGCAGAGCGAGGGGAGCTATTAAGTCAAAATTCAAAAGGTGAAAAAATACCAAATTTGTGACTTTACCTACTAGTGCCGGGTTATCCCACAATAAGTAAAAGTATGTACCTGGAGGATGCAAGCCCATGCTCACATCAAACCTGAAAAAAGAAAAGCCTATGGAAGTAGGCCATATCCCGCCCAACTTGCCTCCTTCCCCACTCCTAGTATTTCACAAGGGTTCTTCACTGCTGAGGTCCGATGTCCCCGACTCCCAATGGCAGTACCTTCCTCTAAAACAAGGAAGCAGCCTTCTTGGGGGAAGGGCTCCACATGTGAAATGGAAAAGCCCCAGGGAAAGGGAACATCTAGTGGAGCTGGTTATTGCAAGAGGCAACCGAACCAAGCAAGAAGCAGTAGAGGGTGGTAACTGGCTCTGCCAGGCTCCCCAGCAGAAAGCAACCTCATGGGCCTTCTCTGCTTAGGAGGGGCAAGTCCACTGAGCAGGCTGGGCAGCAGGGAGTTAAAAGGGTTTTAGCCCCCTGGGAGGTCAGGGAAACAAACCGTCAATGAGTAAGAGGGAAAAGCAAGAATAGGAGAAGCTTTCCATAAAGTAATTTCTGTTCTCATGGTCCCTCCTCAAAGGGCTGGGCAGGTAAAGGAGTTAAAGAAGTGGTATGTTAGCAAGGGGTTTGGACCCTCTTCGCCCCATCAAACCCAGTGCTGAGGGCAGGACCCTGGGCATATTTTGGCACACCCAGTCACTCTCCTAGATCCCACAGGGAGGATCCGTTTCCTTTGGGAAGGATGTCTTCCCATCAACCTCACCACTGAACTGCTCCTGGAGAATCAGAAACTCATACGTTTCCTTGGACAAAGCACCGTTCTCTATGGAGACCAGGGACCTGGACATGGTTTCTTCCTGTCTGCCACCCTCCCAACCACATGAAGTCTTTAGGTTCTTTACCCTGGCAAACAGGAGTGGGACTGGGAGGGCTGCCAGGCAATCTTCAATCTTGCAGGGCAGAGGGTATTCCCTGTGGGTGTCTGGAAGGGGTTAGGGGCTTGGAGAAAGGGGAAGGGGTGGAGCGGCCTCCGTCCTTTAGTCCTGATCAAGGTGAGGAGATGCAAGTCCATTAAAAAAACATTTGCTTCCAACCAGACTCCTGCAATGAGAACATCAGAAGAGAAGAAAGAAAATACAAGTTAGAGGTTACTTTCCGATTAACAGGGGCTTATATAAATTATACTGGCATTTTCAAAAGTTAAAACGTATGAAGTAGGGGATGCAGACAGAGAGAAGGCAAGCCTGGGAAAGTAAAAGACAGCAGAACTGTCTGGGAGTGTTTGGCACTGTGAGTAGTGAGGGAATGGTTGGAGGAGAACAGAGGAAAGAGGAGTGACATTTTACTTTAAGGTTAGGGGGCAAAACATAGACAATGAAATGAGGCATCAAAGCAGTTTGACTGAAAAGGAGACTTTGGCTGGAAACTACTACATTTCAAGAAAAGTTGCTCTAAGGGAGCATGGTGAGTTTAAATACTGTTTCAGAAAATCTATTCTGAGCAAGTCATAGCTTACCTTAAGGGGAAGGGGAAAAATCTGGAAATGGGAAGTACAATGGTAAGAAAACAAGTGTGTACATAACCAAATCCATTAACCCCCAAATACCCAAGAGGCCCTTGCAGGGAGCATGTACTTACACAAGAAAACTAAACTTTTTTCCTTCTTTTAAAGAAGCATACACATACACACAGAGCCAGAGATGTTCCAAGTACCACCACTCAAGAGATTCTAGTCCTCCCCAGATGACAGGTGTGGGTGAGGGGCCAAGAAGCATACTAACACCAAGCAGGAGTGATGTGGTCAGGCCAGAGCAGAAAGCAGAGCACGGAGGTCAAAGAAGATAATCAGCAGTCACCATCCAAGAAAACTAAAAGCACGGTTAAGAACTTCTGCTGAGCAGTGAAGGACTGTTAAGCCACTTGTCACATCTCGACCTAACTTAAGGTCCCCAGTACACTCAGCCCTCTTTCCAACGTTGTAACATCCATCTGCAGGGGGTGGCCTCGTCAATCTTACCACACAAAATAGAACTGACAGCGAAAAGGAAAAGGGGGAATTAAATTCAGGCTTAGGATTTCTACTAACACCCAAACTGGCCACATGGCCTATACATAAATGCTCACCTTTAATGTATGCACTTCTGTAACCGGGAGGAGCTCTGCAAGAAAAACTACATCCATAAGCTGCCTGATCCTTCTACACTCTGAAATGGCACCATTTCACCCTGGGGTCCTCAGAATCTGTCATGGCCTCTGGTTTCTCTAAGCATCTATGCAGGCAGGTATCTTTCTCATTTTCTGTAAGAGGAAACTAAAGCCCTCAGTGACTCCTCAATTTCATACCGTTTGGGTTTCCGAATCTTTGCATTAGATCAAAATTGAACAGAATGCTCAGTTTTCACTGGACCAGGAGGATAGCAATGAGGTGAGAATTACTATATTTCAAGCAGGATAATGTCCTAAAATAATGAGACAACAGCCAACAACTACAAAAACTTGAAGCCACAGACAACCTAAGAATATCCTCAAACTCCAAAGCGCACACACGTATACCACAAAAGTGATGTAATTTGGGAACTGTTGCTACAAAACAAGACTCAGAGGATAACTAATGCATCAGAAGTAAACTACAGTTGACCCTTGAAAAATACAGGTTTGAACTGCGCTGGTTCACTTACATGCTGATTTTTTTTCAATAAATACGTACTACAACAGAATCTGAGGTTGGTTGAATCTGTGGATGGAGAACTGCAGAAATGGAGGGCTGACTATAAAGTTATACTCGAATTTTTGACTACGCAGAGGTCAGCTCCCCTAACCCCTACACTGCTCAAGGGTCAACTGAACAGCACCCATTTCTTAGAGGTTATAGCTCCATTTTGGTGGTAATGTTTGAATGCAGACAGAGGACAAAGTGGGTCAATCAGACTTCAGGTCCCAGAGGTCGTGCCCATCCTGAGGAAGGATGGACAAAAAAGCCTGCTGGTTTTTGCTGCCCCTAGATGGAATACACCCTTTGCTCTCAGGGAACAGCTCTCCGTATAGTATAAATACTAGTATTTTCTAACTAAAAGGTATTGTACTCAGAGCTTGCAAAGTTATCAAGGTAAATGAGGCCCAGGCACCATCTCCTCAACATGACATCTCCTAAGTCACAACTTGGTACCTGCAGATGAAGTTAAGAATCCCAGGATGAGAATGTGAGAAATGGACATTTTTGGGGGGTCAAATTCAGTTCTTTTGGACTAATTAACCAGAAGGAATAACCAACGTACCTAAAGGGGTGACTAGGAAAAGTGGGGAACTGGAAAACCTGCCTCAAGAGTTAATTTTCCTCATTTGTCATAGGCCTGCACCAGCCAAATGACTGTTTTCTGGGAACTACTGGGTTATAGGATTTTTCAGTTTTTCAAATTGAATCATCCTCATAATGGAAGAAAAGTCCCACTTTACAGGTGGAAAAAAAATGAAGCAAGATGACAGCTGAAGTCTCAGGTTCAGGTGTTCAATCCCCGAAGTTCTAATGATCAGAGGATCTCACAATTTTTCTATCAAAAGGCTGTCAGGAGCAAAGCCGCCAAGAACAGTGACATGCAGTTACACGTTCCGACTACTAACCTACGTGGCCCCAGAGACTATAATTCATGCTTTGCACAGACCAAGTACTACCTCCTTCGTCACTCTTATCCTAGTCAGCTCCAAAGGACACACACGGTGGGCTGCAGGACTGGGGAGGGTGGTGACTGATACTGAATCTACAGCAACACTAGCAACTGTGCTCAAACAAGGGAAATGCTGCGGCTGCTACAGGAGGGAGGAGGCCGGTCACAGACCCACTCCACCCACCCTCCCGCCCACTGCCTGAGACTCAATTAGGCCAACGCTGTTTAAAACTCCGCTTAAGTTAATGGCAGAAACAACAAAGTAGAGGGCAGTAGCCAAACGTAACAAGACTCCTTTCTTACTTGTTTAGTAGGTTGTCACTAGGCAACAGTTTACAGTCCAGCTACCGCTTGTGAACTACAGGCACTCACAAGAAGGGGGGAGGGTTTCTTTTCCTTTCTGCATCCAGTCATCCATCTGTCCACCCCAAAGATACCAAGCAGAACTATTCCTACTCACCTTCCACAATTACCATTACTTCAGACCAACCAAATCAGCCAAACACCAAGGACATTATCCTAATGTACTTGATGTGAAGCCACAAAATTGAGAAGAGACCCCAAAGTCACCTGGGTCATGCAATAGCCTTCAGGAACCACAAACGTACCATCCCCGCCAGAGTCTCGACTACTTTTACAGATCTCCAAAGAAACAGAGTCAACAACTGCTCTTGCTTGCTTATATACTAGAAACAGTCTTTGTTGGAAGCTTGTTTTCAGTTGGGATTGCCAAGCTGGTGGGATGTAACCTGGAGCGTGAGAATGAAAATAACAGAGCTGAAGCCCCTGAACCAGCCAAGCCTAACTCAACTTTTCAGTTACTTGAGTTAATGTAGTTCCCCACCCCTAACTCTCCTGCCTGTTTTGGTTTATTAAAAAAAAAAAAAAATCACTGTAAGTTTTTCCAAAACAATTATATCCTGCCATTGAAATATCCTCCACAGTCTCTAAAGCTTTAAAGATAATTTTTTTCAGATCAGCTTTCTCCTGACTAAAGTATCCTGATTTTCAAAATCTTTTTAATACATATTAATTCTTAAAAATCATTAATGTTGCACCTTGAAAACTTACAAGTAGGCAATGGTCTTACTTTTTTCTGTCTTGGTCAATTTTCCTGATTTTTTCATTTGAAAGTTTGGTGGGGTTAAAGTATAACAATGAGGGACTTCCCTGGCGGTCCAGTGGTTAAGACTCCGTGCTCCCAATGCACGGGGCACGGGTTCGATCCTTGGTCAGGGAACTAAGATCCCGCAGGCCACACGGCGCAACCAAAAAGAAAGTAAATAAATAATAAACAAATAAAACATAACAATGACAATAACAATAGCTATCATTTATTGAGAATTTACTAAGTGACAGGTACTATGAGTGCTAAATGCTCTATATGGATTAGCTCACTGAATACTCAGCAATCCAATGAGACAGTCGCTTTTATTATCTCCACTTACAAATGAGGAAACTGAGGAACAGAAAGTAATATGGCTGGAGGAGCTGGAATTCATAACCTGGCATCTACCTGCAGACACTGTGTTCTTAGCCATTATGCCGTGTTGTCTCAGATACCAGGTGAAAGCAGTCAAAAAACAAGCAAAAATAGCTTAATCTCAGGTCCATTTCAGGGTGCGACTCCTCACAAACAAGCAGAAAACCTGCCCTCCTGAATTTTTGGTTACCTAAATAGGAAGTCTTCCCATACCCTTTTCTTGTTTTAAAAGGAGAGAGAGAAATCTTTACTATCAATAATTTTTCTTTCATAAGAGATCATCAACCAGCCAGCAATGAGGCTTCATCCCACCTTTCTCAGTGGTGCCGGTCCCGTTCTCTATCCCGGTGTCTCTCGTGCTCTCGGTTCCTTTCTTGGAAATAATCATCATGCCGATCTTCATTATGAAGCAGGTCCCGGTGCCTCCTGCTGCTTTCCCGGGACCGGCTCGGTGACCTCTCTCGGGACCGATGTCTTTTCCTATTAGAAGGATACTTTTCAGCCTCACTCAGAGGGCTTACCCCATTCTTTCTAAGAGTATTGTGTTTTGGTGTCTTCTACTATTTGCCTAAACCACTCTTCTGTTACTCTATCATGGCCCCTAGTCTTTTTTGGAAAATTAATAACAAACTTGTTGAGATCTTACTAACGTATCAGGCACAGTGCTAAGAGCTTTACATGCATTATCTCACCTAATCTTTACAACAGGTCTGTAAGATAAGTACTACCATTGTCCCCTTTTTAAAAATAAGAAAAATGAGGCTTGGAAAGTTGAGTAACTTCCATATTCAAGGTCATGCAGGTAGTTAGGAGCAGGACTGAGATTCAAATTCAAGAATGTGTGGCTCCAAAGCCCATGTTCTGAACTACGTCAGTCTTTCCTCCTAAATCAGCCCACCGCCTCACCAAACACAGATTTCAGACATTACAACATTTATTAATGTAAACGTTTGATTAATTTTTTTCCCTTAAAGACACGAGGGCTAGGTCTGCTCTTTCAACTAGGTCCTTGCCAGATACCCTGGGCTCCTTTCCTCCCCCTGCCAGTCCCTGGAAGAGTGCTGCTCAGGGCTGGCAGGCTGCTGAAGCAATCATCAACTCACCTGGATGAGCTCCCGCTGGCACCCACACTGTAAGACTTGGCTTCAATGCCATGAAGACAGTCCTTAAGGGAGGAGATGAGGACACGGCAACGCTCATCATTGGCGACCCGGGACTGTTTGATAACAGCAATGGCTGTGAGCAGCGTCTCAATCGCGTCGCTGTAATCCCCTGACAGGGGATGGATGGGAAAGGCCAAGGATGAGCAGAGGCAGTAAACTAACTGATGAAAAGGAGAACTCAGGAGGACACAAACCAAGAGTAAAAAGCTGTCCCACAGAACCACAGTAAAATGGATGAGGCAGAAGTGGCAGGTATAAAACTGTATGGCACCTATATTCTAGTGGTCTGGAATCAGACAGATGCTCTCAGACACTGCTAGTGGATGTATAATCCGGCACGTCATTGTCTGAGGGTTATCAGACAGCATCCATTAAAATAAACAATGTGCATACTTTTTGACCCAGCACATCTAAAAATTTTCTACTTCTGTTCACAAGTATATAATTTAAACAATGTTTGTTTCAGCGTTGTTTGTTGTATTAAAGAATCAAAAACAACTTAAGGTTCCTTCAGTAGGGTCTGGCTATATAAATTATGGAACATTGGTTCTACAGAATACTACATGGTCATTAAAAAGCATGAGGTAAATCTGTATGTAAACAAAGCAATCCATGTAAAGCACTTAGCACAGTGCCAGGCACACAGTAAGGGCTCAATAAACGTTAGGCATTAGTTGATGTAACAGATGTCCAGAATGTATTTTTAAAAAGCTGTGAAACAATATTCCATCAAAATTACATATGTATTTTGCTACATGCACAGAAAAGAAATCTGATGGATAGACACTAAATTGTACAAGGTGGTCTTATTGATGGTCCTTGTACAGAAGCCTTTCATTTATTAACACTGCACATTTCTGTCTGAATTATTTTAAATCTATAACCAAATACATATATACATACAAGTAACATATCTAAGACATGTATGTTGTGTGTGCACATATATATTATATATGCACACACATATTTTTAATTATGCTGCCATCAAGAACTAGCTCCTTCATTCCTCACATCTGAGCAATGTTTGGACTCAAGGAGAGTGGTCAGGGTGGGTACTTGAACAATGCTTTTGCAAACTAAAGCTTTCTTAGCGTTAAGGACAAGATAATACAAGGAAAGCATGAAACCAGGCAGGGGTCCAGTGACAGTGGACTAGCAGCTCCCCCTGTGCGAGGCAGTGAAGAACAAAACAGAGACTGTGAAGGACCTGCAATTCTGTGGAGATCTAAGAACACCAGGATTTTGGCTCTACCAGAGTAGGGAATTTTTGCCTATTTTGTAGGAATTCAATAAATATTTGTGGTTTGAATGACTGGAATGAGAACAAAGCAAAGGGAGGAGACAGAGGTTCAGTTATTGATCATCTCAGTGTGAAGGAACTGGTGAAGAACAATGACTGTTTTTCTTTATACTCTGTATATCTGACTTGCTACAATGAGCATAGATTATTTTCTAATTTAAAGAGATTTACTCAGATGTCATGAAGGTTTCTGGTGAAAAAAAGAGAGAGAAAATATACATACTTTCTGTCTTTAGTCCACTCTGCATTCAAATTTTGTAGTCAAAGACGAGAAATTATGGAAAATGGATGATAACAGAGTTAACTTATTTCTTAGGAGATCTGACAATCTATATTTACATTCATGTAGGAAACTCACAGGAAGAAAGTGAATATGATTAGTGCTATAATGCAAAACTTGGACCAGAACCCGGAAACTTCCTATATTCTCTTCTCTTAGGAACCAAAGGTTATGTTCCCCTGGCTCTCAAAGACATGGCTTCTGGTTCTGCCCACTCAATACTGACAGCAAGGCAAAAGTTAGTTGTAAGGGTATATTATGCCTTAAGATTGACACCCAACAGACTTGTCTCTTTCTAGGATAGGTTACATGGAGGCCACCAGCTCTGCCTCGATCCCCAAATGTAATCAGATTCCATATCCACCATCATCATCAGTTCTAAAAACCCAAGGTCTATACTTGGCATTGGACTCATTACATAGACACAAGATCCACTGATCAACCACTGAGATCAAGATCTCCGTGAGGCAGGAAGTTCATTCTATAACAAACACCACAATGAGCATTAGTTATTTATATTCTAGGCACTAAGTTGGTTTTCATGGGGCAGGTCTAGACACAGGCTAAACAAACAGCACCAGTGGAGCTCCCCAAAAGCCAGGAAACCAGGTTACCATATTGCTTTTCAAAATGTGCCACTCTTGCGAATCTACTAGTGCTCCAACTTTATCTTGTTGAATTTCTTGCCAATGGAAATGACAAAACAATGGAAAAACTAAAGGTAAGGAGAAGGCAGCAACGGTAAGGATGAGTTACCTGCACTGGCTCCAGATACAGCTTTGGAAATGGCACTGCTGGAAATTGCTCTGTTCCGCTTCATGATCTCTTCAAATTCTGCTTCACTCACTGTAGAGGGCGGAGGGCCCGAATCTCGGCTGCACACAGAAATAATACCACTCCTGACTGCCCACACCCCTTGTTAACTTTACCATACTCTAGAGTACTATGCTATTTAACTGTGCTCTCCTGTATAATGTCTTAAATGGTTCTCAGCCTGTTCACATGTTTTATATGTTCATGTTCTCTTCAAAGACAGGATTTATGTCATATACTTTTGTAATTCTGGCATGACTCAACAGTGCTCGACACTCATAGCATTCCTAACAGTGACTTATAGCACTCCATTTAATCAACTGCCTTAAAAAGGGATACGAAGGACATGGTTTGGGTTGAGAGGTAAGACGCAAACAAAATACCAAACAAAAACATTCTCTAATAGTTAACTATTTCCCAGGACTCAATACTATGACAACAGTTTCCACAAGGGAAAATACAAGAATTCAGTGCTCACTTACTTCCTCAGGGAGAACAAAATGCTTAAAACACTGTCTACCCCACTATGCCTGGCTCAGATCTGAAAGGAACAAGATGGTCCTTACCTGCCATGGTGGTTATAGGGTGCCGAGGCCTTCATGTAAGTATCTGGTGGAGGCCCCACTGTGGCATTTGGTGGGGGGAAGAAGGCTGGATTGAGGTGAAGGGCAGGTGGGATGGCCCCAGGGGGAGGTACAGTCAGATGAGGAGGTAATCGAGGAGGAGGGGGCATGAGATGCTGGTAGTGGATGCCAGGAGGAGGAGGAGGGACCCCAAAGCTTGAGGAGAGAGGTGGTGGGGGTGGAATTGGGGGTGGGGGCAGACCCATCAGGGGAAGGGCTGAAGGAGGGCGATTGAAGTAGGGCAGCACACTGGGGGGCTTATCCACACGGGCAGATGAGGGTACAAGGTTCTCAGAGGGTGTGGCCCGTCCATCAGCAGAATCACTAGAATCTCGGGAGTGGGCCCGTGGAGGTATTCCTATGAAGCAAAACAGAATCACTGTTACTGTCCAACCTTTAGACATAACCACGGGACCAGGTCATCCTTCAGCAAGTCATCTGACACCATACTAAGGAAGGCGACAGGTAGCTGAGAAAGAAGGTAAAATCACCTGTTTTTCTTTGGCCTCAGAGAGAAAGCTCAGAGGCAACCGAGTTAAGACATAAACCCAGGAAGCAAAGCCACCCTAAATTCTGTATGTTAAAGAATGCTCTTTATCTAGAACTCTCAGTGCCTCACATTTAAGTTACCCTTAGCTTTGCTTTCTATTTTTAAATGCAGAAGGACCCTGATAACCCATGAGAAAATGACAGTGCTGAGGTATGTTCATCACTGGTCAGCTGGATTCAAGCTGATTCGAAATCCCATTTTCTCTGGTAGTTGTTCAGGGACTCTTTCCTTAGACTAGTAATAGTTAACCTTCTTTATCCTGCTATATACTTGAAATTTTCTCTTTGCCATGGCTCTTTGGCCAGGGAATTTGGGGGAAGGGAGGGAAGGGCAGGGGATGGATAACACTTCCTCCATCCAAGTACCCAAACTGGTAACTGGGACGGGGAAGAGCCACAGAACAGAGAGTAGAAGACTGGAGGTTAAATGAGAAAACACGGGAGACAAGCCAAGGAAAGATCTGCCCACAGAATGAGCAGATGGCACACAGCTGACACCACGGACTCCTAGCAAAAGCCTGGTACAAAATATGCCTGAAACCTGGGAAACTCCCCCTACATTTCAATGGCCCAAACCCTCTACCCCACAGGGCAGCCCACTAGGAACATCATCGTGGAACGGTGGTATGGTGTTGTGCAAAACAGGGGCTCAAAACATGTTTGTATACAGCTGGAAACATGGCTCTGACACCGTCAAGTCATTTGGTTAAACCTGTTCCCTCTTTCCAATTTAACAGTCTACTCTAAGCCTGGTTAATGTGGAATCCAACAGAAGAATGTGATCACATGGTCTTGGGAGTCTTGGAGGTAGAAAGATGCCATTAGGAGACAAGTGTGGAGAGAAAGAAGAGTGCTCCTTAAACAAAAACTTGTTAGTAAACACTAACTCCTGATGAAAGCACAAGGTGGAATTAATCCCCTTGGCAACCACCTTGGTTCCTCTAACATAGTTTATCACCAGTGCCTACCATAGCATTCTCTTGCTTTTCATGTCTCACACACATGGCAACGTGCTATTTCCCTGAGTTCTCTCAAGCTGAAGAAAGAAGAGGTATTAGCAAGTGTAATCCTCTGAAAGTTAGCTACCTTCCCAGCTACCGTTCCCACACTAGCAAGGGTTCTTTTTGTATCTATGGCCACAAATCCCAAGAGTAGCAACCACTGTTAAGCAGACTAAGTCAACCAGCTATACTTAGTGAATTAACAGAGCCCAAGTCCATCAACATGACAGCGCAGAAAAACACCACTCAGTCAGCACCATCACTTCAGCAAAGAAAGCTAACATCAAGGAGTAAACAGCCAGGTGGTGCCAGGACTGTTAGGTGCTCAATGCAGCTGTAAAATTATACATCTTAAGAAAGCTAGAAGAGGCGGGAATCATAGAAAGACTCTGAAACACAATGGACTTTGAAAATTCAGGTTATCAAGGAAGAAAAGTATGTGCCTTCTAACCCAGAGCAATAGCTCACACCACTTCCATCTAGGCTCTCAATATAGTTATAAGAACATAGTTGTTCCTATGCAAGAGTTGAGTGGCCATATTTCCACCTTCAGTCAACCTATCCAAGGTCCCAGTGGACTACCCAATCAATAAATACAAGGCACTATTTTGAGAGCAGGACCTAAGCAGTGACAGAAAGTGGGTAACGAAAACTTTGCCATACCCCGTAAAACGAAAGTAATGGCAGTTGACTGTTTCAGGCAGGGCCTTGCAGGGTGGCTGCACCTTCTGAAGTCAGGACAATCCAAGGTTGGTCCCCAGGTTTCGCAGGTTCAGAAACTTGATTTTAACAGTTCACCCAGGGATGACTGGACCCTAGGAGATTGATTCACACTATCCAAACTCACAAGAGACTGATTCATAAACCAGAATGACAATTTATTAATTTACAATGAGAAATATAACTGCCAAGCAGACTGGAATACTTGTGTCGGCTGGTCAGCGCATTCTCTTCCCAGTAGGAGAGCCTAGTTGGGAAACCAAATTAGTATCAGAAGGTGTCTTGGTGAGCACAGGGTCAGAATAAAGGGAATAAGGTGAGCTTAAGGCATACTATCATCAGGCTAAGGTAGCATGATGCAACTTTCTTTACTAATGGGAAACACTTGCCAAGCAAACTAAAATCGCAGGTAACAGAAAGGGTACCCAACCCCCCTGGTCAATGCTGGAGAAACACTGTTAAATTCTTACTCTCCAGCACTCCTCTTGGTCGACTCCTTACAGAACACCCTTCCAGTGTATGTTCACGACAAGGTTACAGCCATCTTTATGTGTCATATTTATATTTTATGGTGGTTGCTTCTTAATAATTTATACACACGTCTTACAATTAAGCCCATTTGCTATACACTTGATTTTTTAGATAGAAACACATAATTTAGACTTGACAGGAACTTTATATGTCGCGTGTCTAGTTCAAATGGGGAAGTAGGCCCTAAGCAGTAAAGTGACCTGCCCAAGGTCACATAATGAGTTAGTGGCAAAACTGAGCCATAACCTGAACCTACCTGACTCCTAGCACATGAGGCTCATTTTTTGGCTTACCTACTGCCATGCTGTCACCCATAATCACCACCACCCTCTCTCAAACTCTTCCACATCGTAGGCCAAGCCTACACCACAGAAAACAAACCCACAAACTTCCCCCCCTTCATACAGATGGTCTCCACGTACCCCCTCTTGGGACTCGGACGCACTCACGTTTCCGAGCCTGTGCCTCAAACTGTGACAGGTTCTGGCGGGTGGCTGGCCTCACATCCACTTTTTCTCCATTAAGAACTTTTCCCGGCAGAAGTTCCAACAACTTGTGGACAGAGTTTTCAGAGGCTACCACCACCTCAGCATACCTTGAGGAAGAAAAATTAAAAACGAGTGAAATCTACTAGACAACCAAGACAGGAACACAGAAATTCTCTTCCACTTTTAGTGAAAACTGGTAAAGCCAAGGATACCTTGCTAATATTTTTTTTTTAAGATTTTTTTGATGTGGACCATTTTTAAAGTCTTTATTGAATTTTTACAATATTGCTTCTGTTTCATGTTTTGGTTTTTTGGCCCTGAGGCATGTGGGATCTTAGCTCCCAGACCAGGGATCGAACCCACACCGCCTGCATTGGAAGGCGAAGTCTTAACCACTGGACTGCCAAGGAAGTCCCTTTTTTTTTTTTATCTTTCTAATATTAAACACACAAAACTACTAAAAACAAACAGGTGTCATGCTAAAATTTTCCTATTTATTTCAAATTAGAAATCAGCTTTCTTTGCCTCTCAATGGATGGATGTTCTCCTACATTGCAGCTAGGTCCCCATTCTAAGGTGGTTTGTTAAAACCAAGGCAGTAAACTGGGCCAGGGGTGGGAGGGATTAAATTACAGTGCCAAAATAACAGTACAGATATGTCATCCCAATGGCTACAAACTAAAAGGGGCTTCTCAAATCCAGACCTCACCCTTTGGACTGGCCATTTGCTCGATTCTCTGCAAATTTCAACTCCACCACATCATAGACTCCTACAGAGCGAATAACCTGGATCAGCTGCTGGTCTGTGGTCCACTGGGGCCGGCAAAATGGAAAAGGAAGAAATGTCAAGAGCTACACCCCCCTCCCCCAGAATGTCCCAAACCCTTCCCTCAAACCTAGGATTCTAGTCACAATCATGACCTCCCACAGGAAACCCAGAAGGCCATCAATATTTCAATTAGAGCACGTTTTTCCTATTGTCCTCACCCATGCAGAATTCCAAAACCACCCACCCCTGCCCCAATCCCCGTCTTTGAGACTAAGAAAATTAAAACCTATTATAACTTTGACTGCCACTTGGGCTGGCTCGTCATCAGCTCAAACGGTGATTACTAGCAGCTTTTAGTTATAGATCTGATAGGCTAGAGTTGATCACTGACAGCAACTTTCCCCTCAGTATATACATTTCTTAATTTGAAAACACCACCTCCCAGCACCAGCCCCCAAACATGTCACACAATAACTTTTGCAGAACAACAATCACCACCTACCCCGAGCGTACTACAGCTATCAAGGTCTTTGCTCCCTCTCACCCATCATTATCATAGGACCATCTAATGACCACCAAGAGTTCAAGGTGTTCACTCTGAAATCTCATCCCACAGATGACCCTGGTAGACATAAAAGCCCCAGGGTCAGGGGCGGTAACAAGATGGCAGAAAAAGCAACTACCCACTTAATCATTGCTTTCTTCGGCACCAGTACGTCCTCAGGATAGTTCTCTTTCAGAGATCAATCCAACCTGATCCCAGGAAAAAGAAATCCAACCCCATCAGAGCACAAAACAGTGCAACAGTGGTTTCTGAAAATGCCATCACCTCCCAGTGCTCTCCCTCCAGCCCACCCACAAGCCTTTTTGGTTACCCATGCTCACCCAGGAGAAACTGCCCACATAGACAGCAGCCCGCCTATTACGCAGGCCACTGTAGGTGTAGAGAATTGCAGGGGTCTTGTTATTGGGCTTGGGAGATGGCTCCTGGCGAACAGGAGGTGGCGGCTCAGTGCTGCTGCTTCTGTCATCTGAGGGCTGTGAGGTGGCTGTCAACACGTCATCGTACAGGTCAATCTGATCTGTATTGTTGAACTCTGGGTCCTAAGAGACGAGGGGTTGGCAAAGGTGGGTTTGAAAACCTTTCGTTTTGTCCATTCTATTTTACTCTAATTTACTTACAATCCACGGTCAAATATTTTATAAAACATACAAAACTTCCTTGTCCTACTCTAGGAAACTAGGAAGAAAAACTTCCCCATGTAAAACAATTTTAACACTTAATTATACTTATGTATGTAGGTGTTTCTCCTAAGACCCTGTTAGCAGTCTATAGTGTTTCTAGCTTTAATCAACTGTGAGACTCAAAAGGTATATGACGATTAAACAAGCAAACTAAGAATGCACAGAGATGCATCTGCTACTGCTATCAATGTGGCCAGCTTCTCAAGACCACATCTAAGATACACTAATGAAAATTTGTTTTCAACATCTTATGCTATTTCCAAAATCAAGAGTTACACAAAACTTACTCTTCTACTTAATAAGAAATAGAGTAGGGCTTCCCTGGTGGCAAGCCCGTGCGCCACAACTACTGAGCCTGTGCTCTAGAGCCTTTGAGCCACAACTACTGAAGCCTGCTCGCCTAGTGCCCGTGCTCCGCAACAAGAGAAACCACCGCAATGAGAAGCCCGCGCACCGCAACGAAGAGTAGCCTCTGCTCCTGCAACAAGAGAAAGCCCATGTGCAGAAACAAAGACCCAATGCAGCCAAAAATGGAAGGGAGGGAGGGAGGGAGGGAGGAAGAAAGGAAGGAAAGAAGGAAGGAAGGAAAGAAAGGGAGTATATTTATTTAGAAATGTAAATCGGGGGAAAAGCATGTTAAAGTGGGAACCAAAACACAAAAAAGAATGGGAGTTATTGGTTTAAACTTTGACTTACACAAATGATTTAGAGAAGCTCTAAAACTCATAGTACATAATCCCATCTTTACATTAACCATCAAAGAAATATAAAAAATAAAAGGGAAGTGAATAATGGAGGGATTTTCCATTGTAAGTTCTATTTCTCAAATGACATGCAGATCCAATACATTACCATGACATTTATGAGACATCTTTGAGCAATACCAGAGATGTCCAATGATACACAAAAACAGTTAAGTTCTCTAAAATATAAAGGTCAGGGGCTTCCCTGGTGGCGCAGTGGTTGAGAGTCTGCCTGCCAATGCAGGGGACACGGGTTCGAGCCCTGGTCTGGGAAGATCCCACGTGCCGCAGAGCGGCTGGGCCCGTGAGCCATGGCCGCTGAGCCTGTGCGTCCGGAGCCTGTGCTCTGCAACGAGAGGCCGCGACAGTGAGAGGCCCATGCACCGCGATGAAGAGTGGCCCCCGCTTGCCGCAACTAGAGAAAGCCCTTGCACAGAAACAAAGACCCAATACAGCCAAAAATAAATAAATAAAAATTTAAAATATATATATATATATATAAAGGTCAGGAAACAGGACAAGCACCGATATCATAAGCTGTGTTATAGTAAGCTTTCAAATATGAACGTGAATTCTGCAAGATAGGCAAAATATACTTTTTGCCTATGTGATATATTACTGTTATGGACTGAATGTTTGATTCCCCCCTACATACACTGAAACCCTACTCGCCAATGTGATGGTATTAGGAGGTAGGGCCTTCAGGAGGTAACTAAGATGAGATGAGGTCTTGAGGGTAGAGCCCATGAAAGGGATTAGTGCCCTTATAAGAATCAAAAGAGCTTGCTTGCTCTGCTATGCTCTGCATGATGTGAGGATACAAGCTGGCAGTCTGCAACTGAGAGAGGCTGATCACCAGAACATGAACCTGATCTCAGTTTTCCAGCCTCTAGAACTGTGAGAAATACATTTGTTTATAAGCCACCCAGTCTTTGCTATTTTGTTACAGCAGCCCAAGCTAACACTTATATAAAAATTCCTAAAATCAAAAGAACTACTACTAAGGGACCTTAATGTTTCAGATTTTGCAATGTCATTATCTCAGAGAGGATCTTTTTATTTTAAGGATCAGACAAGTATATTTTCAGGTAACATTCTAAAACATCCAAACAGTGCTAAAGAGGATACTGCCAAAATGAGAGTACAGGGAGACGTTCGGAGTGTCTTAGGGAAACTATAGCTCATTCATGTCATTGCTGTCTTTTAAAAACAGGAATAAAGAAAGAGCCTATACTAAGGGAATAAAAGAACCTGTATTAAGTAACTTGTTTAATTGCCTGAAGGAGAATCATTTCCCCTAATGCAACTCAGGACAGGAAGCTCCAGTAACTTTCTCCCTTCAATACAATCACAAGAACTGCCGATCCTGAACTTCGACTAGAGAAGAGACTAACTACAAAATGCATTCTTAGACCTACATACCATTAGCAACTTTTGGAAACAATCTTTTAGTTTCTCAGTTTATCTGAAGAACATGCACACCATGATAATACTATTGGATTGTTCTGGTATTGAGGGGGAAAGGATTCTACTTCCTGAGGCATGTAAATAGCTTCAAGTATTACAAACACTCTTAACAAGCCCCATAGGAGAGGAGTTTGAAGCTTGTAAAAATCTCGCAAAGAGAATGGCAAAAGGGAGTAAACTTTTTAGGGGCAACTTAAAAGCAAGAAAAGGAATCAGTGAGGCAAATAAGCACAGGAAAACTATTTTAGGTAGTCAAACCTATAAATAAGGACCTTGCATAAAAAAGGATGCGTATGTGAAGAACGGGGAGAAGCTAACATTGGAGAGCACAGGGTGGATAATAAATTAAAAAGGTGAAGAAAGCTACGGCTAATAACTCAACATTTTATGTGTAAAATATTTCACAGCCTTACATCTCAAACAATCCTAACTCTAGACAAACCACTTATTTTTTTTGTTTGTTTGTTTTTTGCGGTATGCGGGCCTCTCACTGTTGTGGCCTCTCCCATTGCGGAGCACAGGCTCTGGACGCGCAGGCTCAGCGGCCATGGCTCACGGGCCCAGCCGCTTCGCGGCATGTGGGAATCTTCCCGGACCAGGGCACGAACCCATGTCCCCTGCATCAGCAGGCGGACTCTCAACCACTGCGCCACCAGGGAAGCCCCAAACCACTTATTTATTTATTCATGTACTAGGTATGATTTGCCCTTGTGGTTCAAGGTAGAGAAAGGACTTAGAAACCACTCAATTTTTTCCAATGCTCTAATCCTCAGACAACACTACTTCACACTTCAAACCAGGGTGCCTTTTTTTTTTTTTAAATAAATCAAGGATTGTGAAATGGAACTTAAAGGGAATAAGGAAACACACCATCTTGGATGGTCAGTGGAACCAAACTGCAATTCCTTCCGTGTAGTATCTGTGATTCAGAGATGTGTGTCTAAAAGTTGTAATACAAAAATTATTGCTGATAATTGGGTAGAGGACATGCAGACTCAGGCAGCTCAGACATCAAACATATCACCAGGAAATCCCCCATACTGTAAGCCTCGGCAAACAATCTACTCTTTCAGGGTTCCTTAGAGAATATGACAGACTCAATCCTGGAAGACCCTGGTGGATGGATTACCTTACCACTTTAAGAAACACAAAAGGATTCAATGAACGCAAAATTGTCACAAGATTCAAATGGTCTCTCTGTGCCACAGAGCCTCAGTTCAAAGAAGTTTGTGGGAACTTTTCTGATGCACAGGCAGACCTGTTGAGGATTCTGTTGAAGATTTTATTGAAGAAACAATGTATCAAGTTGTGTTTGGATTTAAATCTGCTAGCAACATCAGTTCACTTTACTCTTCAGTTGCTAAGACAGAAAAACAGATAGGGCCTGAGGTCTTTCAGATTACCAAATGAGCTGGTGTTTTATGCAGGTAAAGAAAAATCTAATTCTACAAATTAAGTGAAAAATACAATGTTTTACAGGCATTGATGTGGAGGGATTCATTTCAGGGAGATTAAAAAAGAAGTATGTATTTAATACTGAATTAATACCAGGGACAATTTTGCATTTAACAGCATAGGAATAACTGTGGTTGTCTCATGAAGCCTCTTGGTTTACAAAAGAGAACTTGCATGATTATGAATTTAAATGAGAACTTCCCCACCTGTCTGCTCAATGTTCCTACCTGCCAGCCCTTTTCCTGATGTCTAAGGGGAATAATAAAGCTTAGGATTTATTTTTCTCAAAGCAACCCATTTGATATAATTTTCTTTTAACTGTAACCAAAGCTCAGTTTTTGGCTTTATAATTACTATTTCCACAGTTCTCACCTCACACTCTCCTTCCATCACTGTCCACTGCTCTCAACCACCAGGAATAGAACCTCTTTTGAGTAGAAGAAATCCATTTTTTCCTTTTATCTCACTACTTCTAACACAGTGCCTAGCAAACAGAAGTAGCTCAATAAATACTTGTTGATAAAAATGAGGAAAACTAAGCATATTGTGTAAAGTACCTATCTTTGCATAAGGAACAGAACAGAGACAAAACACTCAGCAGGATGGCAGCTCTCCGTCTCTTTTCTAGTTGTTCTCCCCAGCCTAAGAGAGCAGCTGTGAACCCTAAGATTCCAACTGTAAAAGGAGTGAAGTAGCTCTGCAAAAGAGGCTTTTGTAGCACATGTTTTAAGAGATCCAGGAGTCAGCACGGTAGCGTTCCATCTAGGAACAGTGCTTATTTTCCCTGGGGAGCAAAGTACACATGACAAGGTTCTTGTGCACGGGTAAGCTTGGGATGAATCAATAACGTTCTTATAACCTTCTAAAACACAATGTGTACTTGCTGCCTTCAGTCTAAGCTTGCTTCTAACAATAGCCAAACAGAGCTTTTACCACTTCTTTAGCGCCTCCAGAACATACTAAAACCAGCTTTGCTAAAAATTAACTTACTTGTGGGGAAAAAAGCACCCTTCCCCTGACCTTCCCCCAGCCATAAGACATTCAAAATCTATACTTTTTTCAACTTACTAAGTATCAAATACTGTCCATTTGATATAAATGTCTACTTGATTTCACACACCATCTTTGGCCTATCTTAGACCCATAAAAAAGTCCTGTTTAACTAAAGAGACCAGAGAACAAATTGTTGAGGCCAATGACTTCTACCTTGACAAAGCAGTGACCATTGGATGAGGCCTATGTCTTGTCTATGACCTACAAGCTGCATTGCTTAAGAAATTATGGAATCTCATTTCTCAGACCAAATGTCCCTGTGGTCAAGGACCCTGTTCTACCCATTTCCCAAAGTGAACCAGCAGCACTGTTACCAACCCACAGATAAGGAAATTAGGGGAAAAGAAGTTTTTAAAATGAATAATTGAAAACAACTAAGGGAGCCTTGTTTTCTTGCTATCTAGTACTAAAAAAAAAAGTAAAAAGTAGTAAGTCTGATTCAAAGTAATATGAAAAACTCAGGAAAACAATGGTTTGTAACTAAATATTCTAAACCGTTTTTCTCATCCAGAAATAATTATGACGTGTTTGAAATTTAAAGAAAAATCTTCATGTATTTAAGTTAATCAACAGCCACATGTACATGACTTCAGTTTGCCTGAGAAGACATGGGAAAATGACTAACTTATGTCAAGTGAAAGAAATGGCATATATCAACCTCTTCTGTTGCTTCATATCAAAGCCAGGGTCCAATCAGAGCACTTTCCTTCCCTAGCCTGTTTTTTTTATCCTCTTTCCAGGTCCTTACATGTAGCCATTAAAAGATGCCAACAGGAAGAACCAGCTTACTGAAGTAGAACAGTGCTGAAAATAATCCAGGCAAGATATTAGTAAGTTCTAAATAGAGATTTTGGGACACTCTTGAGATTTGACCTCAAGAGCTCAGAACTGAACTGTATATGAAATTATTGTTTCAAAGGAGATTACTGTATCGTGTTTCTTGACATATCATATAGAGACCAACAAATCCAACTTAGAGCATGTGGCTGGGTCTGTATCTGCTTCGTAACTGGTTTGTCCAACACCTTTACCTCCCCCCACCAAACAAGGAGATCCATCAATAAAATTTACTTCTCAAGCCTGGAGTCAAGCTACTTCTGAAAGGAAGGAAGACAGAAAACAACTGGAATGCAGCTGAAATTAAACGTTAAAGCTATCTTTTATACCGTGCCTCTCACTGCCCTATGGGGGAGGAGACTGCATTTCTCCAGGGGCAGTTGGAGAGAATCTCAAAGGAACAGGTACCAACATCATCCTCATGAATACTATAGCAAACCTAATTCTGATTTTTAATTTTGGTTAGTCTTCGAAGAGACTGACATCCAACTTTGGCTTCCTGGGGGAGCAAGTTCCACAGGTTGATTCATCACTCTATTAAACCTCATTTTTATTTACTCTTAAATCAAAGCTTTTAAAATCAAGCCTGGAGGCTTAAGTTAACATAAAGCAGAACGATCAGAAATCTTGGAAGTCTGTGCTAGAGGGAAAATTTTAGATCTGACAGAGGGGTGTTTAGGCCTATAAAATCTTCATGGACTGACACAGCCTGGAACCACTGCAAGTTTGCTGCAAGTGATTCCTCAGCTGGTACAGGAAAATACCAATGTTCCCGATGACCGCTCACCTGATTGAACTCCTCGTCAGCATATATATCAATCAAGTCCACTCCTTCTGACATGGCTCCGGAAGGAAGATCTCGAGCCCGGAAAATGGACAAGGTAAGAAAGATGCCACTGCAGTATCCAGAAAGAAACAGAGTTAGAGGCATAAGGGTCCCAGGGTGGGATGAGGGCATTGGTTGCCAACCTCCCGTCTCCAGAGACGCAGCATCCCGGCAGCCCGAGCTCTGCCCCACCCGCTCCGCCCCGCCCCCGGCCTCGCGCCGCCCCTCGCTCTCCCAGGCCACCGGGGCTCGCGGGGCTCGCTGCCCATCACCCTCGGGCCCGACCGGAGCTGCGCCGCAGCTGCCTGGGCGCGACGAGGAAGTGCAGGCCTCTGCTCCTAAGGGCCCTCGGATGGCGCTGCGAAGAACGATCGCGGCGAAGCCCGCAGCTACAGCCCGCCGCACCTGCCGAGGCCCCAAGCGGCCCCGGCTAGAGTCCCTGCGGGTCTCGGATCTCCAACCCCCTCCGCTCCCCACCCAGGCCTAGTCCTCGCCCCCAGCTAGGCCCGCCGCGCTCCCTCCCCACAGACCCGGCCCGACGCCCTCGGCCCCCTCCCTCAAAGGCCCGCGCCTCCCGCCGCCCGCCAACTCCGGGTACCCCAAACTCAACCGACCCCCTCCCCGCCTCAGCGCCGTCCCCGAGCCCTCTTCCGGCCCAGCCGGCCCCCGGCCGCGCGCCCCCGTTACCGGGAATATGGCGGCGGCGGCGGCCAGTCCGGACTAGGCCCGAAGCGCGCGAACCGCTCTCTGCCCCAGGTCCCCCGCCGCCGGCGTCACACGCACAGCCACTTCCGCCATACGCGAGGACGCATCTTCCGGCTCAGGTCCTCAGAGCTGCTGTCTGCGGGACTGGTGCCCGGAAGTTCCGGGAAGTGGTCGGGCTTCTGGCTTCTGATGCGGGTCGGGTAAAATGGCGGTGGCTGCTGTGTTCCCGGCCCTTCCGCGGGTGAGGAGAGTGGGGGTTATAGGGTCCTAAGCAGGCCGCAGCGAGAACTGTATCTCGTCTTCCTCTGAAGTGGAGGCCGAGAGAAGCGTCCAACTGCCTGATAGCCCAGGGCAAGGGCAGACCCAAGGAGAGGTCGATCTTGCAACGTAGGGAGATTCAGGTTACATCCACCCTTGCCGGAGCCCACTGTGTGTCTGTCTCGTAATATCGTTGAACCATCAGTCTTCGTGGGAGACCCAATTCAGATTTCACTTATTTCCCAGGTGGAGCTGGCCCGACAGCCTCTGGGCGCCCCTTCTCTCTTTTTTTAAGTCTCTCTGTTCTTTTTAAGTCTTTAGTATCTGTCATGGTTTCACATAGTTTCATAAGATCGTTTTTCTTTTTGAATATAGACTGTTAACACTGTAAACTTCTCTCTTAGAACTGCTTTTGCTCAGTCTCATAGCTTTGTGATGTGTTTTTATCTGAAGATATTTTCTAATTCCCTTTTGATTTCTCTTTTTACCCAGTGGTGGTTCAAGAGTGAGAGTGTGTTGTTTAATTTTCACTTATTTGTGAATTTTCCAGTTTTCCTTCTGCTGTCGATTTCTAGTTTCATTCTGTTGTGTTCAGAAAAGATGCTTTGTATGATTTCAATCTTTTTTGTTAAGACTTGTTTCGAAACCTAACATGCTGTCTATCCTGGAGAATGTCCTCAGTGTGCTTGAGAAGAATGTGTATTCTGCTGCTGTTTAGTGGAATGTTCTGTATATGTATGTTTGGCCCTTTTGGCTTACAGCGTTGTTCATGTCCTCTACTTCCTTATTGATCTTCTGTCTGGATGTTCGATTTATTATTGAAAATGGCTTTTGAAATCTCCAAATATTATTGTGTTACTATTTCTCCCTTCAGTTCTGTCAATATTTGCTTCATATATTTGGATGCTCTGATATTGGTTGCATGTGTAATTGTTGTATCCTCGTCGTGAATTGACCCTTTTATCATTATATTACGTCCTTTTAAAATCTCTTTTGACAGTTTTTTTTTTTTTTTTTTATTGTTCATCTCTGGTTGTTTGTTCTTTAATTCTTCTAGATCTTTTTTTTTTTTTAACATCTTTATTGGAGTATAATTGCTTTACAATGGTATGTTAGTTTCAGCTTCACAACAAAATGAATCAGTTATATATATACATATATTCCCATATCTCTTCCCGCTTGCGTCTCCCTCCCTCCCACCCTCCCTATCCCACCCCTCCAGGCGGTCACAAAGCACCGAGCTGATCTCCCTGTGCTATGCGGCTGCTTCCCACTAGCTATCTACCTTACGTTTGGTAGTGTATATATGTCCATGCCTCTTTATCGCTTTGTCACCGTTTACACTTCCCCCTCCCCATAGCCTCAAGTCCATTCTCTAGTAAGTCTGTGTCTTTATTCCTGTTTCACCCCTATGTTTTTCATGACATTTTTTTTTTAAATTCCATATATATGTGTTAGCATACGGTATTTGTCTCTCTCTTTCTGACTTACTTCACTCTGTATCTTTTGACAGTTTTGACTTAAGGTTTATTTTGTCTGATATAAGTAGGGCCATCTCTGCTCTCTTTTGGTTACCTTTTGCATGGAATATATTTCAGACTTTCACTTTCAGCCTACATGTTCCTTCCCTTACATCTAAAATGAGTTTTTGTAAGGCATATAGTTGGATCTTGTGGGTTTTTTAAAATCTGTTCAGCCACTGTATGTGTTTTGATTGGTGAGTTTAATCCACTTACATTTAAAATAATTACTGACAGGGAAGGACTTACTATTGCCATTTTGTTCATTGTTTTCTCTCTGTCTTGTAGCTTTTGTGTCCCTTTTTACTCTTTTGCTGTCATCCCTTGTGTTTCATTGATTTTCTTCTATAGAGACATGCTTCAATTCCTTTCTCATTTTCTATTGTGTATAGGTGTTTTCTTTGTGGTTATTGTGGGGCTTACATAAAACATTTTATCATCTATTTTAAACTGATAATAATTTCAGTCTCATACAAAAGCTGCTCTTTTACTCCTCCCACCTTATGTTATTGATGTCACACTACATATTTTTGTTGTGTATCCATTAGCGTATTTTATAGTTTTTTGTCTTTGTCTTTTAACTTCTAAGCCAGAATTAAACCTGATTTACCCACCATCATTACAGTGTTACAGTAGCCTGTGTTTGTCCTATATATACATTTACCAGTGAGCTTTATGCTTTCAAATGCTTTTGTGTTACTGTCTAGTGTCCTTTGTCTCCTTTGGGTTTCTTCAATTTGGATGTCCATTTCTTTCCCCAAATTGGGGAAGTTTTTGACCATTATTCCTTCAGATAAGCTTTCTGCCCCTTTCTCTCTTTTTTCTCCTTCTGGGATTCCCATAATATTTATATTGGTCTGCTTGATGATGTCCTATAAGTCCCTTAAGCATACTTCACTCTTTTTCATTCTTTTTCTTCCTCTGATCGGGTAGTTTCAAATAAACTGTCTTTGAGTTCACTGATTCTTCTGCTTGATCAAGTATGCTTTTTAACCCCTGTAGTGAATTTTTCAATTTGGTCATTCTTCATCTCCAAAATTTTGTTTTTGTTTTTTTTAAAATATTTCTCTTCATTGATATTCTCATTTTGTTCTTGCATTGTTTTCCTCAGTTCATTGAATATCTTGATGACATTTATTTTAAGTTATTTGTCAGGTAATTCGTATACCTCTGTTTCCAGGGCTGGTTTCTGGAAGTTTGTTTTATTTCTTTGATTAGGCCTTGTTCTGCCATTTCTTCATGCACCTTGCAACTTTGTGCTTAGATCCATGCATTTGAAAAAACAACCACCTCTCCTAATCTTTTCGGACTGACTTTGTACAAGGAAAGACCTTTGCCAATCGGTCCAGGTAGAGAATCTGGGGGCCTATCAAACCTTTTGTGTAGAAATGTCTTCTCTAGACTTGTGCACGTAGATTCCCAACTAGAGGGATTTGCTGGCTTCTTTTTCCACGAGCTCATAATCTCTTGCTCCCTCTGGTGTCTCTTTATGGTACTACAGGTTCTCTGGAGCTGCCGCAAGCCTCCCAGCTCTCCTCAGCAGCCCCCAGGCTTCAGAGTATCCCAGGTCCCATGAGCGCTGCAGGTTGGCCAAGACGGAAACCAGTCCCTTGTGCAGCTCCTTGAAAAGCAGGAGTTTTGGATGCATGCTCCTCCTTTCTTTCCATTGGCCTCTGTCGGCTGTACCACAGGTCCTCAGAAGCAGCAGCAAGCTGACCAGCTCTCTTTGGTTTTCAGAGGACCCCAAATATCTAGAGTATGCTGGGTCCTGTCAGTGCTCTGAGACAGGCAAGACAGAAGCCATTCTCGCAGGCAGCTCCCCGAAAAGCTGGAACGTAGGACACACGTTCTACCTCTTCCTCCCCAGGTAGAAGTCAGGAATTGGGGGTTTTCTTCTGCTTGTTTTGTGCTAAGCCACAGGTAGGGACGATGGCGAGTGAGTGTATGCTAGTCAAAACCCTCACCTATTTCTCAGCAGCCCCCAACCTGGCATCTTTTCCGTCACACTTAGATTCAGACGAGACAGAAACTAGTCAATCGGGCATCCCCCTGAAAGGCTGCATGTTGGGTGTATGTTTCAGTCTTTTCTTTCCCTCCCAGGGAGAAGCCAGGAGCTGAGAATTTTCTCCAGTTGCACTGGGCTAAGCCAGGGCATAGGGGAGGGACTGTGTTGAATGAGTACCATGAATTTTTCTTCCAGCTGCAGTACAGCTGGCTTTGTGCTCACCTGAGGTTCAGGAGCCTCTTAGGTGGTTTCTGGATTTCTCATAAAGGGAATTGGTCAGTGTATTGTTGGGTAGTTTGTGTCTCCGTGGGAGAAGGAGAGTGTGGGACTTCCTGTTCCACCATCTCGCTGACATCACCACCTTCTCATTGCGTCTTTTTTTATACATTTTTGTTTTTATAAATTTATTTTTTTATTTTATTTATTTATTTGGCTGTGTTGGGTCTTTGTTTCTGTGCGAGGACTTTCTCTAGTTGCGGCAAGTGGGGGCCGCTCTTCATCGCGGTGTGTGGGCCTCACTATCGCAGCCTCTCTTATTGCGGAGCACAAGCCCCAGACGCGCAGGCTCAGTACTTGTGGCTCACGGGCCCAGTTGCTCCGCGGCATGTGGGATCCTCCCAGACCAGTGCTCGAACCCACGTCCCCTGCATTGGCAGGCAGATTCTCAACCACTGCGCCACCAGGGAAGCCCTCGTTGCATCTTGATAGTTTTTGCCCTTCTCTAGATTGGGAAACTTTGGGGAATTAGGGGCCATACCATCACCGTATGTTCAGATTTTAACACAGGCAGGTGATTAGAATGCAAACCATATTGTAAGAATTTTAAGGGAATGCAAAGGAAAGAGAAAATATTTCTGCTGGAGAGGTTCTGGAAAGACACTGGTTAAGAACATGTTTGCAGTCACGGGTGGTTCCAGTCTTCACAGTAGTTACTGTTTGGGTGAACTTGGTAAGTCATTCAGCCTCTCCGAGCCTCAGCTTCCTAAGCTGTAAAGCGGGGACAGTATCAGCATAACTTCTTTTTTTTTTTATTGCGGTATAGTTGATTTAC